ATAAGAGACAGGAAGAGACAAACGTATCTGAGATACTCTCAGAGAGAAGCTAATAATTAAAATTTCCTTGTAGATCATTCAGCACTGCAGACTGATAGTTAATCGAGAATATGGATTTTAAAATTGGCACTAGAGTCTAATTCTAAATACTTATCTTCTCAGAGCAAATGCAGACTTTCAGGATTTTATTTCCATCCATTTAGGGGAAAACATATTTCTAATGCTCCAAACAAACCAATGTGAATGAAGCAACGAGGTGAAGCTTCTGCTGAGTCTAAAAATATTTTCTTTTTCCTCATAAGACTTGTAATGTTCTTACTACCCAACATTGGCTTTAAAAAAAATCAAAATAATTTGAAATGTTCCTTTGTATTTATAAGGAGCATTGTCTCAGGGTTTCTTACAGTCTAGTGAAAATACTGCAGTATGGTTTTTGTGCCCCGGACACGTACCGCTCATGCAGGCATAGGAAGAAGAAACAGAAAAGCGACGGGAGGTTTGGTTCCTGACCGGTAAAATGTCTCCTAGAGCACTTGCAGCATCAGGCAGAGTGCTCCCATGGCTACGAGATGCAGGCCAGCTCCCGGGTGAGGAATCGGCGCGCAGGCCGCGGCGAGGGCAGTACGGCCCTCCCGTCCTCCCTCCTCCCGGCCCACCGGCGCAAGGCTAAAGTCTGCAGAAGGCCAGAAGTAACCCCGAAATACAGCACGTTCCTAAGCTGTGGGAACAGCCTCCCGCTGCCCCGTGCCTGCGCTCTGCACCTGGAGCTCTTGCTCCCTGCGGTCTCTGCACAGGGCTCTCCACTTCCACACCATGGTTCTCGGACAGAAGGTTGGCCGGGCTTTGCAGTGCTGACAAACACTCTTGCCTTTTTACTATCAGTGCTTCGCTAGCAGAAATTTTGAAAAAAAAACCACCTTTCTTCACAGATTTGATTCTGCCTTATTGAATTAATTATGCTTACATTTAAACCACTTAATAAAATCCATGACATTTTTAAGTAACAAACAGCTGAATAAATTTAGAATCAAAAGAATGTGCTTTCAAGTAAAATAATTGTGAAAAAAAGACAAAGCCAAATTCACGTCATTTTAAGTGAAAAAATTGTGTCCCCGGCTGAAGGGTAATATTCTTTTAATATGTAACATGGAATATTTATTTTGGTAACAGTAACAGAGAAGTACTCATCTAATTGCAAACAGTTTTCAAAAGTATATTTGGACTGCAGATTTAAGACATATGAATTCCCAAGAATGAAGGGGAGAAGGATCTACAAAAATAAAGTCCTATCGCATGGATGACCTTCTCCCCATACATACCTCTTTGTTCTTGAAGATCTTTTGATATTTAAGATTTGCAGTTCCCAAGTGATTCCAATAACTAATAAGAAATTCCTGGAGAGGAAATGACAAAGAAAGCAGCTGGAAGAGTATCCAATTCACGATTTAATTTTTTTTAACATAAAGCTCTCTTCGTCATGACAGTCAGCATTGAACTGCTTCTTCTGTATTTCATGTTAGATTTCCATGTTCCATCCTGTTGAACATATGATTTGTTTCAGATTTTCAGACTACAGTGTCTTTGAGTGTTGCTCAATTAACAAAATAAATATTTTGTGTTACCAAAACCTGATGGGTCTGAGTTTTTGCAGATTCCTAAAATCTTCACCAGGTGAGATATCTGTTACTGATAACTACCTCACTGGAACCCTGTGTCTTCCAGAGTGCCCATCACCTAAAGTCTTCATCTTCTGGTTTAAATAGCTATTTCTACAACAAAGCGAAACAATTCAGTTTGATTCTTCATGGCTTACATGACAAAAATCTCAGGTTAATTTTCCACAGTTACTTTCATTTGGGGATATACAATTGGGTTCTTCGGGCAGCACAAAAAGACAACTCTTCCATCATCAGGTCGAACATCTCACACGTCAGGACCAATCCCCTTCTCACACACAGCCCGCTGTATGATTGTAAATAAGGAATTTTCATCTACTTGCATTGTTTTCATACTTCTGTTGTAAATCTGTATGCTTCAAAAATGACAGTTTGTACCAGTATGAAATTGGAAACGTATTGTAAGTGCTGCACTCTGTTGAAAGTCATCAGTACCTTCCATGTGATGTTTCATCAGACATCCATCACAATCTAAGTACTTTTTAAGGTTGTTATGATTCGTCATTTTAGATCAAGATTCAGTTCTGTCTCCTGCAGCCCTAATATTATTATAATGTAGTTTACTTTTACTGATTTTATTCTGTGATTAAGACGAGTGTTTACACAGTGCTCATTTATGCAGAGAACGGGCATATTAGCCATGGCAATGCAAACCTCATCCTCAGTGACACTATTTCTGACCTGGCAGGGACGGTCGCTTGTGGTATCTTCGGTGCCCGAGTGCCTTGGGAAGACCCAGCTGAGAGGGCAGTGTCTGCAGCGTGCGGACGGGCTCACCGGGAAGTGGGTGAAAACAGTTGATCCGTTCCACACAAGGGATCAAATACCTTTCACAGCTAGTGGCTTTTAATAAATTAATGCATACTGGATTTAAATCAATATCCAACATCTGAAAAGCACAGGACTATTACACAGATTATTACTTAGAGATACTAGCTCTAGCAGCTTTGGTTCTGGTTGGGAGCACACACGCGCATGGTGCATTCTTCTTCCATATTGAGCATCTATTCCGTTGCTCTAATCTGATAGTAGACAGAGTGGAAGAACAGCAGACTCATATTTTCCTTTGAAATTATAAACATAAGCACAGAAGTTCTGTATTGCTTGGCATGAAAGATGTGATTTTTGTCTTTCTTGCAGGCTGTCTTTGTTTTGGACACTGACAGATTTTTTATGGATGATGGTCATCGGAAAAAATTTTCTAAAAGTCTAGTAAGGCAAGGCCTGCATTTCTGCATGCCTGTCACCATAGTATCTGGCCACCTACACTTACTAGGTGTGCCTTTAGCTGCTTACATTTGAAAGGAGTCTGTGAAGTCGACAGATTTCAAACTGTGCTTCCTCTAGTTCTGCTGTATAGGCCAGTAAGGAGGTAAGCACTGGCCTAGCCATAACCCATGTGAACGCCCCGCAGGGCCAGCGCTCTCATCTGACATTCAGAGGTGACAGCTCTGGAGTGGAGCACACATTTTTACAAGTCCGATCTGATATCAGCACGCAAAAATGGAGCTAGACTGTGGAGAGGTCAACCAAACACGTGAGCCCCTGTCTTCCACAATATGTGCACATCTGGCTATTTGGCACCCATAAGCGAGCTTGCTTCCCAGTTGCTTATTCTGGAGGAAGTTTATTGGGGTAGGCATCTTGGCACTAGCAATTGCTGGTGTGTCCTGAAGGTCTAAAGGGTGTTTTGGTCTGCAGCAAAGGGTTTGCGTGATCCACATGATCTCCGTTTCCCCCTATAGTTGGCTTTGCCTACAAAGATCTTGATGCAGCATAAGGAGGACAAGCAAAAGGCGAGCGAGCCCACACTAACAACACAACTGCTGCCATTTTGTTGTGAAAGCAGCCCAGGTGGAAACCGTGCCATCCCCTTGTCACACTGTCATTAAAGCTCCTCCAGCACGGCTGTTGGGAGACCCCACTTGAAGACAGACAGACAAATTATTACTTTGCTAATTTGTCCTGATGATGAGGAGCTCGGAAATGTAAATCACGGCCTTCAGCAACTTCGTCAGCAGGCAGAGCAGCTCACTGCGGGAGTCTGAATGTATTTCAACCTAAATAACTGGGCTTATTTATTTAGAGACACAGAAAATGGCACAAAGCAAACAATTCCATCCTTTGCCGTGGAACTCTCTCATGCGGCACTGCAACGTCAACCTTTGCAGGCCGATTTTCCCGCAGAGCTGAAAAGCCCATCTGAAGCCCTCATTGTCCCTGTGTCCCGCCCCAGCTCACACACGCTGAATTCACACCAGAGTCAGAGGTAAATCCTCCGCCCCACCTCCTCCGCGAATCCTGGCAGCTTCTCCATTTTCCACCAGCGTCTGGACGGAGCTCGCCGGCCCCGCAGCCATGCCCGGGCCGGGCTGCTCCCCACGGCAGGCCCAGCCGGGCCTCCATGACACCTCCTCGGCCGCTTTCTCCCCCCTCGGCCCTTCCTGGGGGGCTCCCCCACGCTCCTCCCTGGGAAAGCCCTCCTGGGCGGCGGGGCAGGGACCCGAGCGACAAGCCGGCTCAGGCGGCGGCTGGCTGCGGCCTGCGC